ATTCGCATTCGAGTGGAGTTCTGAACCATAGTGCGTTCGTTCGAATTTCAAAAAAAAAGATTTCAAATTAAACGGCTTGATCTGTAGGTGTGCAGTTTATTTTTTGAAGTTAGAACTTTTTCAGCGGCATAGGTAATTTGAAATTCTGTCAAATCAAAACCGATACTATGTGAGACCTCTTTTCACTCAAAAATGGCTGAACGGATTTAGAATGAAAATTGTTTTTAGAATTTTGAATAAGGTTGCCACGTGTATAAAAAGTTAAATTCAAATTTGGCATCTTAACGCCATGCGGGCTCACTAGTAATTATACGTTCCCTGCTTATAATCGTTCGGGACCTCTGAGAGCCAAACAAGTTGGTTAAGGAAACCCCTTTAATTCTTACTCACAAACATACATACACAAATAATGTACATATGTAGCAGCATACAAACTGTTGTGGAAGTGGTAGACAGAAGCACAGTCGGTGGGGAACCATAACACCGATAGCGAAGGGGAAACAATAAAGCACAGGAGCATTAAAAATAAATGAATAATAAAAAAAAATAAAAAAATAATAATAAAAAAAAACATACAAAAAATGGGCAATCGCAAAGACAAATAACATCCGAAACAACAACAACCCTTGCAAATAAAGGCAGTAAACAACAATAAAAACAATTAAAAATGAAAAGAAGTCTGCAAGTATGTGGGCGTATATAACCTACTAACGCACACACATACACACACACATACATACGCTGATGACACATACGAACGTGCACTTACAAGTTAGGCAAAATCACCTTGGACTACACACATACATCCATACCCATCCATACTAATGTGTGCAAATATGTGGGTGTGGATAGAAGTGTGCTTTCGAAAAGCTTAAACGCTAGCGAAGCTTTTGTGTTTAGTTATTGCCATGTTCCCATTCATGTCGTTCCATTTCATTCACTTTCGGGCCATTTCGCGCGTTCCAGCTGCTTTGTTGTGTCGCAGGACAATGCACGATGATATGGGCGCGCGCTTTTCGCTACGCCTGTGTGAATTCGAATAGGATGGATGTAAATCGGATGGTGGGGGGGTGTGAGGCGGAAGGATTGCGAGGCTGTTAAACAGCGAAAGGACATCCTAGTCACGAAAGGCATGTAGAAAACACGTCTGTCGTGTAGCGACGACAACAACAATCATAACATTACCGTAACACACACACACACACACACACACATTTAGCGTGCGAAAGTACATCTACATGTATGTACATACATAAGTATGCAAGGGACGGTGTCGGGGCGGAGAGCATGGAGATTTGGCTGTCATCAGATGTTTTCGGGTCGTTGCCGCCATTACAGAGAGGACACTGAAGGACGAGCACACACCATCGTCCGTCGTGAAGGTGGATCAGCTAGCGCGCACGGGGTTTGTAACTAGTGGTATTTGGCAAACGGACGGGCCGAACGGATGGATGAATGGGCAGCCAGGCGGCTGAGAGGCGGCCCGAAAGTCTGTGCCTGTCGTTATGCAAGCATTCTGCTTAAATATTTATGTTTGTTGTCAGTAGCATTTCGCTTATTTGTTTGTTTGTTTGCTTGTTGTTTGTCCGATTCACTGGACACATGCATCCACTAACTGACGAACTGCTTAGCAGATAAAGGGATAAACAGATAAAGGGAGGTTGTAGTTGACAGGAAGACCGCGGTTATACCGATGTTTATAAACTGAAAACAAAAGCACCGAAGCATAACAATAGTGCAGGCAACAAAGACATGCGAGCGCTGAAGCATGCGAGGATAGTACGGCTGTTGGCTGCTGGTTGCTGGCTGACTCGGCGTCCATGGCCAAAATAATTGTTTGTGGTTGCAGGTTTTGATTAACACATTACTAGCCAGCCAGTCAGCAGGTGGGGTCTGCGAAATGCACTCGAGTCGTATGTGTATGCATGTGTGGTGATAATGTATGTATGTATGTATTTAAAAATATGTTAAGTATCACTGGCAAGTGGAAATTTTGCTAAGCAGCACAGCAGTGATAGTATGTTTGAGAGAAAGAGATTGGGAGCGAAAGAGAGCAGGGTGAGAGGTCAGACAAAGTGGGGGATTGGAAGGTGCGTGGTTCAGCGGGTGACTACAACTACCAGTGTTGCCGGATTGGTTTTCTAAAAGCTATAAATTTCCCAAAATGAACTATAATATACAAAAACGCAGAGAGTTCTTAAAAAGTAAGATTTTTTAATTTTACTGAACACTATCACGTGGGGTATTTGCTAGTTGAAGATATTTTTTAATACTTAGCTTATCGCTTTAACCTCCAAAAACGGGTGCTTATCTTCTTCTTCTTCTTCTTTTTTGGCGCTGTAACCGCCTAAGCGATTTTGGCCGAGTTCAGCAAAGCACGCCAGTCGTTTCTCCTCTGTGCCAACTGACGCCAATTGGAAACGCCAAGTGAAGCCAAGTCCTTCTCCACCTGATCTTTCCATCGCAGTGGGGGCCTCCCTCTTCCTCTGCTACCACCAGCGGGTTCCGAGTTGAATACTTTCAGAGCTGGAGCGTCGGTGTCCATTCGAACGACATGGCCAAGCCAGCGGAGCCGCTGTATTTTAATTCGCTGCACTATGTCCATATCGTTGTA